TTATTTTTGAAAATTATTATAAACAGGCTACAACCGAAATAAAAACATATCAACTCTTTTTCCTTTTTCCATACATATCAACTTTTGAATTATTTAATAAATTAAAGTATGTTTCTTAAATTATTGGATAAAAGACTTATCTTCAGAAATAAAATATTCTCTCGTGGCTCAGGCTAATGAAACATTAACATAAGTATTCTCTGGTTTGGCACTTCTTTAATGGATTCATGAAAGTCCACTATGTTTTCAACAAGTTCAGACCTTTTTTTTCCTTATTTTCGTACCAAAAAAATAGATAGTTGACTCAAGCTATAAAGTCAATAATCAGCACCAAGATTTGGAAATTGGTCGTGGTCAATTCACACCGTTTTCTTAAATCATATTTCAAACTATCAAATTGTTGTATATTTGCATTTTGTAATCAGTAAAACAATTTTTTTAAAAAATTATTACTGCTAAAAAAAGACATGCGAATACTATTTGATTGGTCAAATGAATACTACTACTACTACATCATTTTCTTTTTCATTAGCTACTGCCCATTTATGAAATATTTTTTTATTAACATCTTTCATAGATCATAGAAGTTTCGTTATTATTTTTTACACAAAAGAAATGACTCAAGAATCATATAGCACACAGAAAAGAACAAACATTTACAAAATAGAGATTAATGCATGAGATGAAAATGTAAAAGTAAAGGATTTTCTCCATTATTAACTTGAATTGTTGAAGTTGAGTTTTGTTAAAATGAATTTAAAAGAATATTAGGAAGGCTTCTAGTTAACACGACCAGGCGTCCCCGAACTCGCTCTCTGCTTATTCGCTGACCTCGACGACACTTGCAAAACCTCTGTCTCTTCCTCTTCTTGTGGGATCTTCATCACCATTATTACATATACACATTTGTTCTTAGAAATTTGGTATTGGAAATCAATATGTGACATAATTCAGTAATTTTGAAAAATCATTTCTTTTTTCCTGTCTAGTTTCCAAATCGAGTTTTATAAATTTGAAATCCAAACATGTATTTGACCTTTTTTACATGTAATTTGTAAATTTTTTTACAGAAAACTAAAGTTTATAGTTGAAGTTACCATAAGACATCATTTTTTTGTGATAATGGGTATCAGTCATCATATTGAGTGTCAATTTCACGTTA